AGGGGGAAGGGTGCACCTCACGCTCCATCAGAGGGATGAGGTGTGAGGTGGAAGGAGAAGAAGGAGAAGGAGAAGAAGAAGAAGAAGAAGGAGAAGAATAGGAAGAAGAAGAGGAAGTGATAGAGGAGGGGGGAGGGGGAGGAGAGAGGGCGGAGGGAGAATCCACCCTGTTCTCCCCTAGACTAGAACCTCAAAGCGGTTTGTCAGAGGTGTCTCGGTGGAAAGATGAACCTTTTTTGTTTTAGTCACAGAGACATGCCTGCTGACCGTGGGCTTTGGGAGGTCAGCAGTAGAAGGACTTGCCGACCTCGTGGCTTCCCATGCTACCTTTGCGTACGACCAGCCAGGGACCAGGGTCACAACTGGCGGGAAGGTAGCTTTGTGGGCCTCCTGAAACGAGCAGCCATTTCGTACTTTATACTCTTGGATTGCGCGTTCTTGAATCAAAGTCGCGCAATCCTTACTAAAGGCTGGCCGTGGCAATTGGGGCAACAAGGACTAGCCTTGCATTCCTTCTCAGGATGCCCGGTCTTGCCACAACGAGGACACACGGCTGCGTGTTGGCATCATGACTGGCTATGGCCGAACTTCTGACACTTGAAACAGCGCAGAGGGTTCGGTAAATAGGGTTGCACGTCTAAGATCAAGTACGATGCCCGAACGGTGGCTGGACGGCGACACGAATCAAAGGTCAGGATGACCGTGTTGGTTTCGAGGGTGGTCTCCCCACGTCGGAGAGTAATCCGGCGGGTGTCAATCACACCTTCGCAGTTCGCCACAATTTCCTCCATGCTGCAGCCCTTTAGTTCATGGCTGCGGACGACGCCCTTCGAGCAGTTCAACTTCTGGTATCGTTCGGAAGTACATGGAATACTGCCGAAGGTCGTGATGTTCGGAAGTTTGGCCACTTCAGTCTCTGTTGCGCACTTGACGAGGAGTACACCAGAGGACAGCTTTTGGACATTCGTAGGAATGTATCCTAGAACCTGTCTTAGTGCATCTCCCGTCTTGAACAGATTCAGATCAGTGATCTTCTCAGACCTGCCACTCTATGAAACCTCAAAATCAGGATCTCAGGGAGAAAAAAATCGGGATTTGGTGAAAGAAATCGGGATCAACAGCAAATCATCAAGGTGACTGCCAAAGCTGACTTAAAATGTTTCCAGGGGTGTCCATAAATTTCTTGGCCTATATGCCCTCTGAGTGTCTTTGTTTGTTTGCGTGCGCGCGCGCGCGAGTTATCATTATTTTTTGTAAGTCCTGAAGCATCATGTCAAGCACTCCCTAGTCCAAATATCTATACCCCCCCCCCCCTCTCAACCAATAAGTCCCGAAATACATGAACTTAAGTTGACTCCGTCCATCCCCGACACACAGAACTCACACGGCGATGTCATGTCACATGACGCAAATGCGTGATTGAAACAATTTTATTAATGGGTCCGCCTAACTGCGCGTTCACACAAAACGCTCAGATGAGCGATAGTCGTTCTACTTCTCGTACTCTAGGATAACAACGGCGGCCGACCGACCAAATGTACCAACAAATCTCTTATCCCTCATAATGCGTTCAGACTTAAGCAACGACAACGGCCGTATGTTAGTCTTGTCAGCGCAGTTACATGTACATGTAGTTGTGTAAGGGTTAGAAAGACTGTTGCTCGTCCGAGTGTTTGGTGTGAACGCACAGTAACCAGACCTCGGACAAGGCTTGTTTTGAAAGTACCAGCGGAAGTACGAATATTATCGATTATTTGTATGTTCCAAATTGTAACAGTTACCAGGCTATCATCGGAGAATTCTGAGTGCGGGCAAAGATCACACACAACTTGGGGCGAGTCAACTACATGTACTAAATGCGGCATCGATATTTCGGGAAATAGTGCTCCGAGTTCCTACAGACAAAAAGTTCAACGGGTGCTTCCCGCGATAAAGGAGAAGGCAGAGTAAGTTTTTAGAAAATTCCAGAACAGCAAACTGGGACAAAAAATCGTGATACACGCGATCGAAATCGGGAAAATCAGGATGCTTGAGATTTGGGGGAAAAAATTGGGATATCCCGATTAAATCGGGATGAGTGGCAGGTCTGTCTTCTTCTGTGCGTCTTCTTTGATGCTGATGGCCACATATGGCTGCTTCGGAAGCTCCCTGGGAGAAGGGAGGAAAGAAGCAACGGTAAAGGTCCTTTTACCTGATTTTGAGTTTTTGCTCGGCTCGGCGGCCGCACCCGCTTCCGCGAGCCGAGACTTTTTGTTAACGTTGGGAGCTGGGGAAGGGTCTTTTTTTTAATTTGGACTCCATATGAAATTTATTGTTGATTCTACTCCGGGGCTCCCCGTCCGCCACGGAGCCCTACAAGGGGACACATTGCTCGGATGACCAGAGCTGTGCCAGGGCTACCCCGGAGCTATACTCTCAACGAGAAAGTACAAGAACCTCCCGTCAAGACTGACCCAGGGCTTGATGGGGTTTCAGCTCTCAACCGATTGAGTGGCATGGGCCGTGCCACCCTCCCGTCTAAGAGGAAAACCTGGACCAAAGAGGTGTGTTGGCGAGGGACAGTCCGTGGACTGATCTCACCTCAACCGCCAGGTACCCGGTTTCCCTCCGCACGGGTCACACCTCATGGTCAACGAGGCGCCCACTCTGTGGGATGGGTGACCTCTCTTTTTACTGCACTTGAGGTCAGCCGTGGTAGGAAAGATAGAAAAAGAAAGAAAGAAGGAAGGAGATGAGGAAGATACACCAAAGTGAGTGTCGCACACGGATCCCAGAGGGTTGGGGTCTGTGTGCGACGCTCTGCCTTTGAGGGGGTTGCACCTTCTGCAGACGAAGCAGTGGGTCTATTTATATCCCCCCGACCCACTGGGGGTGCTAGATCTAGATTGCGCGTCCATTAACACTGAGACATTAGGCTGCTGTCTTGGGTAATGAGCTCAGCTGAAAATCAGTGCTGACAGTAGGAATGTTTACCCCCTGGCAACAAAAGGGTTAATAACTTAGGGTTCTAATTTTCAGACATGAATATTTAAATAAAATACAATCGAACCTATGGGTTGGATTAATTACCTTCATCAAAGAATCCTACAACTTTAACAAAGTCGTCATTCAGCAAGTTCCTTGATGACAGAGGAGGAGCACCAAGTCGAAGACCACTGGGCTTGAGAGCACTCTTATCCCCAGGACAAGTGTTTTTGTTCACAGCAATGCCAACGTCTTCTAACACCTTCTCACCACGAGCTCCATCAAGACCTTTATTCCTCAAATCAACCAAAACAAGATGGTTGTCCGTTCCACCTGTCATTATAAGAGAGAAGCATACTCAACGTCAGTTAACTATGGAAGTAAAAATCTGTTCATAAATCAAACTGGCAGCAAAATTAGTAGCCTACCACATGTCCAACACAACACTGATGTCCATGTTGTCAAAGTTTGAATGTTGGAAACAAAACTGACACTCACTTTGAAATTGGCATATCAATTCCTTAATAATCTATCCCAATTTGTGAATTTTTCCGTGGTTCAGCATATTAAACGGGGGGGGGACGCAGCACCTTTTTTTTTGTAGAAATTAAGAAAATCTAATTTTATGGAAATGTCTCTTGAACAACTACACAAAAAATGTTTTCAGACATGATAGGCAGGGTAGTTCAGTGAATGTGTGGCTGAGTGCAAAATATGACCCCATCTCCCCCACATAATTTTGTGATGGGCGGACTGGGTCGAAACTGGTAGTTTTAAACTTCAGGTAATTTAAATTCTTTATATAGGTATTGGGGGCACTTTCAATAAATGATTTTAAATGGAAACTAAAGAAATTTACAAGTTTACTTTCTTGTTGCAATCATAATGGCCAAAACTAGAGATATTTTCCTTTGAAAATTAGGAAAAATGTAACTTTAAAGATCGGAAAAACTTACTGCCATACAACCATCATAATCTCCATCTTATAAGTTTATAAAGCACTTTTATATAATATGGACTTTGAATGATTTGCATTAACTCACTTCAGACGGTTCACACAACAGTTGCGTGACCCCCGCCGCGACGCTCGCCACGGCTCCCACGAGCCCTGCGTGACCAACTTTGGATTTTTTTTTCCGCTCTACAAATCACGCACGGATCGCGGGACCCGCCTCGTACCCTTGTTTGGTCAAGCCTGAGCTACTTAGACTTCGTTTCGTATCTCTGGGACCCGCAGTTTTTAAGTTATTGAAGGTGAAGGACAGTGACCCCAACTGGGGGTTGAACTGACCGGAACTCGCGCTTTGTTTTTTTCTATACAGCTGATAGTAATCCGACAGTCGCGTCGTAGTAACGGTCGAAGAAGTTGCATGAACAAGAATCACATAATTTCGCCGTTTTCGATACTTCTGTACGTTTTACTAGTTCTAGTGTCTCAGAATATGATGTGTCTGATAGTTAGGATCCTGGATATGTACCCGAACACGTCCCGAGTCGTAGTTTTAGGGCTAGATCTAGCACTAGTAATGGTGTTGTTGTTCGAGCAGCGAAATCACAACGTCGTGCCGTACATCTGTCTCATGTAATTCAGTGCATGGGTCTGAATCAACGCACAGACCAGCTTTTATACTTGCACCAAACACTCACACATGCATACAAATCAAGATACAACACTTTGAACTTTTATTTTTGTTGTTGTTGTGAATTTCATCCTACCTGTCATGTCTGTGGGAATTTTTCGGAAAATCAAATTCATGCCAATTTTTAAAAAATCATATAAATTAAAGTATTAGACTTAGACAACTTTAGTTTTTTGTGTTAGATTAAGCTTGAATGTTACTTTACTGTGTCAAAAAATAATTACAATAGGGTAATTCTGAGAGTTGTTGTGATTTATTGAAATACTCTGAAAAACGCCAGTCTTCAACGCTTGTCACTGGTGAAAGGGCCCAGTCTGAAGTGAGTTAAAACAAGCACAAGACACCTGACAGCAAGTCCCCAAAACAAGGTTTCCAGGCCAAACATGCTTTTGACAGTTTGTCCCACTGACATACAATTTTGGCATGCTGCAGGCTATTTATGACGGTCCAAGGTTGTTTGTACATCTACTGATTATGTTGAAGTCTAACTACTTGTAATAAGGAAAGAAAAACAGAGGAGTCCTCCTTCGTTTGGTGAGTCTGATCTTTCATCGAGTCCACATTTTACTGCTGTATTATAGGCCTATTGATAGTGCAGGCAGTTCAGTAAACAAAGACGCTGAGTGCAAAGTAGTGTCTGCATCTCACGATTCCGTAAGGTCAGAGGTTGAAAATGTAAGTATTCAATGGATTTGTTGTATTTTGCTGAGTTTTAATTTTTTTAAAGAGTACTGGGGAAAACCTCAGCCTTTCCGGAACTTCGAGGTTTCCTGGAGTGCAAGGCTTATTACTGGATTGCACTAATAGCTCAGGCGTTTGGGCCCCACCTTTGCCTTGCAATACTTTGGCATTGAATTTATCATACCTGTGCAATAAAAAATGTAAATAATGGTTAAGTCTTTTTTTTCAGGAACGAAATGATTCAATTTTGGGGTGAGATAGTACAAGAATACCCGCACTGAGGACGGCGATGAGTTGAATGTAGGAAAATTTTGATTTCCTGAGTAGGGAGCTGTGACCACCTACCACTTCTTAAACTAGTTAGATTTTTAGTCAAGACTTAGAAAGTGCAGTGATCGGTGCAGTAAGCTCTTTCTGGTGTGTCAGTTTCCAACAAAATCAAATATATTATTTGAAATTTTCACTGAATTGCTAAATAATATAATGAAAGCATGAAATCAAATATTCTTACCTGAGACGATATGGTAACCCTTGTCCAGAAGAGTCTGGCACATAGTCTTGGCATTACTGATCACCTGCTGCTGGTATGCTTTGAATGCTGGTGTTTTTGCTTGTTTCAAGGCGACAGCCACAGCTGAGAGTAAACAATAATAATAATGATGATGATACATGTATGAGTAAGAATCTATACATTTTGCATGTGATATATATGCCTACTCTGCGAACACGGTTACAGTTTGCAAAAATATAAAGAAATTTTTCACTTATACCTTTAACCCTTGCCCTACGGGAGCCGGGTTTATGACGCCTGATAAGCCTATTTCAGCACCTCACCTACGTTCTGGTCCCGAATCAGTGTAGCCCCTGGCTTAGCACACGCGCATCATCTTACGTGACGTGTTATTCGCGTCCCGAGTCGGATCCCCATTCACTCAGGTCAAGTGTGTGTGCGTCAGTCTGCTTGAGTTTGTGTGCGTTTGTGGCCTTCTTCTAGAACCGCCTGCGTTGGTTCGTAATAGAGACATACGTCTCTTTCAAAACATGCCAAGTTGGTAGCTCTAGATGTTCGTCCAATGAAATTATAGAAGAAATAGACCCACTTAGACACGAGGAGCTCGAAAGGATAGTCAGGAAAAGACTTCCATTTTTCTGTACAAAATATTTCAAATGAGCTTGATTTTGTATGAAATGATACCACCAGATAAAAAATAAGCTTGCTTGAGAATTTTGAATACCATTGTGCAGGCACAAAAAACAATTTGAGTGTAAAACATTCGGAAATTGAGCTATATTATCCCCTTTCGAACCTCAGGTCATTCGTAACAACAAGAGCGTCCAGAAAGGTTATTCAAATGGGCGTAACTACTCGTAATGTTTTATCAGCTTGTGAGGGGGGGTT